TTCCACATCATCGCTGGACCTTCGGAGGGAAACTGCACCCTTCTACAGGAGCACTGCTTCAACTGAACCACATCTGTCATCCAGGAGGACTGCAGCCACCATTTATACGGACTGCTACTAACACCCTGACTGACAGGGTGTCAGGTTGTATTCTGACTCTGTCGGTGGTTTTTCTTTTGTATTGTTGCATGTATTTTATTTTTTCTCTTTCTTCCTATTAAATTGTATTACTAACTTGGAGTCTCTCACTGGTTTTGCTTTTCAAACCAAGACATGGATACACCACACTCGAGTGAAGAAAGCTCCCGAAGCTCCCTGGAAAGTAACACCGGGCAATGATGAATGATATGTGTTTAGAATTGGAGAATGTTGAAACGCATAGCAATTTTAACCTCATTGTCAAAGGTGCATGGAAAGGCATTGAGAGACACCTATTGTAACAACTGGCTAGGTAGAGAATCCTTATAGCAAGTAAAAGAATTTACTTTAAATTTTCCAGAAAAGGGGGGAAATAAGACAGGGAATTTAAAAGTAAGGAAGAGTTCATCAAAAAACCAAGGCAATAAAGAATGCCTGACATTTACTATGCTTGCAAAAATTGGGAGGAGAGGCAGACTGCTTTGTGATAAATGGAGCCAGAACTTGCAAACAGGGTGAGGGGTGCAAGGCTACCAGTGATAAGTGATAAATCCAAAACCCTAAACCAGCAAGAACTAATCTCAAGGTCCGGAATGTGCCCAAATGGCTAAGACACATGCTCCAAAGACAAAGTTGAAAAGTTCAAGTGCGATGAAGAGTTTGGAAGCCTTCATCAGAGACCTCTGACTACTCCTGAATTGGGGAGACACAAGCGCAAAAGGACTTTTGGTTCATTTGAATACAAAGCGAGAGTAGGCAGGGCTAGGACATGAATATGTATTAGGCGTATTGTGTAATCCTAGGCTTTTAGGGAATTGACTCAGTTTGAAAGACAGGTATTTTGCTAAGAAAAGGCAAGAACTCCTTTCCTGAGATGCAGAGTGCAACCCCCTCCCTTCTAATTATTATAGTTTCAAATCAGAAGCTCTCAGACAGAGAATATGGGGATAGGAATAACAATTCTTTACTGATATCTAACAAGGCAAAATAGCAGAAACAACAGCTATAAAAATTGACAAAACAGAACAGTATAGCTCACTTCCAGTCCTGTTTCGGCCACAGGCTCCTTTTTTCCTGCGCTCAGTTACCGGTGCTGTGGGGGCAGGGCAGGTCCCGCGCAGCTGAAGGGTGCTGGGTGATGGCGGCGGCGGCCCAGGTGTGAGAGGGATGGAGGAGCGACTCCCCCCTCACGGTGGTGGTCGTGGTGCTCGGCAGAGTGTCCGGAGGTAGTAGGATGAAGTAGGAAAAGCAGCAGAGCGATGTCTGATGGCAGGGAACGTGGCTCCCGGCGCTGGGATGGTGGGGAAGACCCTAGGTCGGAGCACTGGTCGTCCTTCTTTCACTCCACGAGTGAAGCGAGAGCGAGAGTCAGCCCCAGACCCCTGTCCCACCTTTCCTTTTCCGGTCTCCCCCTATCCCCCACCCCCTTGCGAGAGAAAACTATAGCTACTAAGGTGTAGCCACAAATACTTAGCATAACAATGGGAAAAATTCCACAGAAAGAAAAGGGAACAATTCAACCCCAAACATTATCCACTCCTGAATTTTTCCCATACTAATATGCTATATCAAATTAAAACCGTTAAATTATATACATACATGCAGTTAAAGATATAGGCACAGTACCATAGGTATTTCACCCTAAAACAAAGTCTCCTTGGGGTATGCATCGGGTCTCTCCATTCTTTTGCATCACCCACCAGGTGCAACCTGGTCCCTGAGCGAATACAACCCCCCAGATGGCATTGTCTTTGCTGGAGGCAGGATTCACCCAAACAGTTTTTCCTAGCATACCTCTCGTGTACCACTGGAACCTTATCTCCATCTGGTATTCCCAAGGGCTCAGATTGGGCAGGGCCTGCTCGGTTTGTGGAACCTCGGGTGTTCACTAACCATGTGGCCTTTGGTAGATTAATCTCCCAGTTCCTGAAAGTTCCCCCACCCAGTGCCTTCAAGGTGGTTTTAAGCAGGCCATTGCACATTTCAACTTTCCCTGCAGCTGGTGCATGGTAAGGAATATGGTACACCCACTCAATGCCATGTTCTCTAGCCCAGGTGTTTATAAGGCTGTTCTTGAAATGAGTCCCGTTGTCTGACTCAGTTCTCTCGGGGGTACTATGCCTCCAAAGAACTTGTTTTTCCAGGCCCAAGATGGTGTTCCAAGCAGTGGCATGAGGCACAGGGCAGGTCTCCAACCATCCAGTGGTGGCTTCCACCATGGTCAGTACATAGCGCTTGCCCTGGCGGGTTTGAGGCAGTGTGATGTAATCAATCTGCCAGGCCTCCCCATACTTATATTTGGGCCATCGTCCCCCATACCAGAGAGGCTTCACCCGCTTGGC